TTTTTTTGAGACAGGATCTGACTTTGTAGCCTAGGCTGGAGGGCAGTGGCATGATCATGGCCCACTGCAGTCTCGATCTCATAGGCTCTAGGATTCTCCCACCTCAGCCTCCCAAGTAGCCAAGACTACAGGCATGGCTGATTTTTTAAAAATTTTAGTTAGAGATGAGATCTTGCTGTTTTACCCAGGCTGGTCTTAAACTCCTGGGTTCAAGCGTTCCCCTGCCTCTGCTTCCCAGAGTATTGTGATTATGGGCATGAGCCACTGTACCTGGCCAGCTCTTAATTATCTAATTATTTATGATAAGACTCATGTAATTTAAAAGTTTCATTATAGTTTCAGCCTCATTCATTCAAAATAACTTTCGCTGTCTTGTTTGTGTTTCAGGCTTTATTTTCTCTTAATCTTTCTGCTGCTTTTGTTCCTCCTTCACAAAATCAAGTGTTTGTTTTTTGTTGTTGTTTTAGGATTTTGCAGGATCGTGGTCTTTCCAAATATCCTAATCTGTTAAATCAATTACTTGATTTACAACCAAGTCATAGTTCCCCCTACCTAATTGCCTTTCTTGTGGATATCTATGAAGACATGTTGGAAAACCAATGTGACAATAAGGAAGACATTCTTAATAAAGCATTAGAGTTATGTGAAATCCTAGCTAAAGAAAAGGACACTATTAGAAAGGAATATTGGAGATATATTGGAAGATCTCTGCAAAGCAAACACAGCACAGAAAATGACTCACCAACAAATGTACAGCAATAACACCATCCAGAAGAACTTGATGGAATGCTTTTTTTATTAAGGGAATCTATGCAGGAGTTTAAAACTAGAGTGATCCTTCCCTTTGCCTGTGGTGTAAAAGTACATCATACAGGTATTGCTTTTTAACAAGAACTGATGCTCCTTAGGTGCTGCTGCTACTCAGAATAGCTCTAAGTAATGTGATTCTTCTAAAGCAAAGCCATTGGATGGGAGGGGAAAGAAAAAGTCCCATAAAGGAACTTTTGTAGTTTTATCAACATGTAATCTAATCCCTTAGCATCAACTCCTCCCTCAGTGGTACACGTGTCAGGATTTGTAGCAGTAATGACTGCCGGTCACTTGTTTGTAATGAATATGAGGTAGCCAAAGTTTGGTTCAGTAAGCAGGGAATACAGTGGTTCCATCAGAGCTGGTCTGCACACTCACAGAATCTTGCTATCACTGTAACCAACTAATGCCAAAAGAATGGTTTTGTAATAAAATTATAGCTGTATCTAAAAACAATGGTACAGTAGTTTGATTTTTTAATAGCATTTAACTATATGTTATACAAGACACATTGTCTCAGCTTAGAAAAGCAATCGAAGAAGAAAATATTGCTATAAATCTTTAAACTAGGAACATGATGTATTGGAGGAAATGTTAAAATGTGAATTGGTCAGTTCTTGACTGAAAGTGAGAAAATCCGCTCAAGGTAGTTTAAATCCAAAGGGTTTATTCAGGTATATAAATATCTCACAGAAGAATTGCCTAATCTTTTAGAAGTACATTCCCAAACCATAGTACACAACTGGACCATCCCGTTGCTGCCGCCTGTCCAGAATCAGAAAACTGCTAGATGAGGAATGAGGAGCCACAACCCTGGCTGCCACCTCCAGGACCGTGCTGTCTCTGCATGTTCCATAAAAAACATATCTACTGCTTTTCCTGTGTAGTGTGGTTCCAAATTATGGCTCACTGCAGTGCATCTGATTGGAAAGAACCAACAGGATTT